TGCAGTGACCTCCGCTGCATCCTTGCGGATCTTGCTGGTCGACCAAACAGTCTCGCGCCAGCGATCGTCGGCCACAACATCTGTCAACGCGGCCCCCAGTGCTACCTGCCTCTCCATCATGATGACGTTCGTGCCGAAACGCGTCTCCGCCGGTAGCAGAAGAGTCTTCGTCGAGTGCGCCTCAAGAACCTCTCTCGCATGTCCATGACAGTTGAAGAACCTTGTAACCAGCCTCGCTTGAGAAATGCGGGAAGCCACCCAATCAATCCCGCTGATGTCCTCGAGAATGAGATCCATGATGTGGGCGACGCAAGAAATCCAAAAGATGTGTTTCACGCTCTCATATTTTTGGAATACCTCCATCGTCGCGACGTTCACCCCGGCGGAGTCCGTCACGAACGCCGTGATGTCGCTCAATTGAACGTCCATGGACTTCACCCTTTTCAACCATGCGTTCGTGAGGACACTGGCGTCCTTTTTGCCGCGCATGACGTCGATGGACAGATACACCGCCCCGATCTCTGTACCAACAAGGTATTTGCACAACGTCTGACCATGGATGTTGGTCCAACAATCGGTCATGATTGTGCAACCGGTCTCTCTCGACTTGTCAAGCACCCACCGAACACACTTCTGGACCTCACCATCCAGCTCGTCCAAAAGGGTCGTGCGCAGCATGTGGTACGAGGGAAGTCTAGGCGCGGGCGCCCCTGGAACCCCCGGCGGGATTATCATCGTGAACATGCGTTTGAACGTTTGAAGCTTTCAAGCTTCGTGCTGTTGAACGACATCCCGCTCTCGACGATGAACCGCATGATTTGCAGATGCCATGCGCGCTTCAAAGGGTCCGAATAATACGACGTGACAGCTTGCTGCCTGTAAGTGCCCCGACATCGTCCCGTCGTAGCTCTCCCGCCGAGGACCCCAGCATCCAACAACCCGCCAGGGCTCACAGGTGCCGTGCTCAGGGCGACTGCAAGGTCACGAATGCCCTGCAAAGGGTCTAACATTCCGGCCAACACGGGTGGAGGCTGTGGGGCAGACCGACCACCGCCCGTGGTTGTCGGAACAGGGGTCGGCGATGAATCGGACACCGGAGGGGGGACCTCCGCGGCAGGCACCCCATGATCCACCTGTTCACCGAAACGAGGCACGGAAGCCGAATGTCGAGCATCTGCAGGTGCGTGTGACGGATCCGGGTGGGCGGTTCCGTGAGCGTGGTGGACCACTGGACGCTGCGCCGCTCTCGACGGTGGCGGTGGCAGCCAGGGGTGCTCCGGCGAACTGCGGGGTGATGCGCCAGGTGCCACCGCAGTACCACCCCGTGCGACATCTGACTGCCTAGCACTCCTGAAAACAGAGGCGAGCGCGGACGCTGAACTGCTGGCACTCCCCCCCCACCTGCGACTCTCAATAAATGCACGTGTGCTCTCCTCGTCAAATGCCGCAGAGCCCACACCATCCCTCAGAGGCGGGGGCTCGTTGGCTGGCGTGGAACGACCAACTCCCACATCGCGAGAACCTCGTGTCCCAGCCAGCGGCGCGGACGGCGGGGCTGCCGGTCGTGTTGCAACTGTTGTTGCAGGACGCTGTACCGTGACTCGAATGGCCGGAGCCCCAGAATTGGGCGATGCGACCGCTCCAGAAGGGGCGGTGGGAGAAACCAGCGGCGGCACTGCGTCCTCGGGGAATGGAAGAGGTGGCCACTGCAAACTCGGATGACCTAGCAAGAGGCTCTACAACGTTTCTATGGCTGACGCGAACTCCTTTGGACATTTTGTCATGTCCTTCGACCAGATCACATTCCACACAGCAGGAGTGGCTGCCTCACATCGGAACTTCTCGTTCTTCGAGAAGTGCTCCTTGGCGGCTTTAGCGCCCCCACAAATCGAACGCCCGCACAACCTGCACAGGCATCAACGACCGCTCTTCCTGCCCGCCGTCGTCGACCCATCCAAATAACGCCCTCTGGCCACGAAATGCCACACCGGCTTGTCCCGCTTGCCGTCGGCTGTCGGGTCGACCTTGAACGGCGAGTCAAACGTCTTCGTGTTATGACCTTGTCGGGCGGTCATGAGCGAGTCTACCGGATCCTTCCCCCGGTCCTACGACATGATGAAAGTCGCCAACCGCGAAAAAAAAGGCGATGTCGGAACCCTCTGAGAATGTTGCCAACTCGCAACAGAGATCGAAGTCGACGTCAAAGCGGCAAAGAAACGCTATGAAACAGGCAAAAACGATGAACGCAAAGTGCAGAACACCTGGACATCAAAGGTAAAACACAAGACGACATGAAACAAAAAAACAAACAACCAAAGAACAAAAAAAAAAACTCAGAACTCGGAGGCAAAAAAAAAAAAACGCCAATGTTCTCTGTCCCTTGTTAAAAAAATGACAATGCTCTCCGCAAGGCAACCGTTCCACAGGTGGTACTTCCGATTCCAGGAGGGCGATCCCACTAGCCACGTATGTGGAACAGTGTGATTGGTGTGGGACGGCTGGGGGTCAGGCGGGTGGTAGAGGGAAAGAGGGAAAATAAACGGAAAAGAAAAAGGGCAAACTTAACTCCACACACCGTTTGCTAACTCCACACACCAACAAGAGAGAGAGAGAGAGAGAGAGAGAGAGAGAGAGAGAGAGAGAGGCCACCAGCTTCCTGCCCCAAGGCTGAAAAGGCCACCCTAAGGATATCAGGCCACCCCGGGCTATGAGGCCACCCTAAGGCTATCAGGCCACCCTAAGGCTGAAAAGGCTATCATGCCACCCTAAGGCTATCAGGCCACCCTAAGGCTATCAGGCCACCCTGGGCTATCAGGCCACCCTAAGGCTATCAGGCCACCCTGGGCTCTCAGGCCACTCTAAGGCTATCAGGCCACCTTTGGCTGAAAAG